ATCCAGCCCTGCAACCTTGTTGTCTCGGATTCTCCAGCATCTGCAGTTCCTACTATCTCTGACTCTATAATTCCATTCTGCTTTCTGGCGAGCATCAAACCCCTGATCCCTACAGTAAAAACACAAGGTAAAAAAAATCATGAGGCATGAAGCTGGGCCAAGCCTTTGCTGCCTGCAGCCAACTCACCAGGTTAGAAAGCTGCTGGCTCAGAGATACCTTCCACCCAGAGCACCTCTGGGAATCACACCAAATTCTGAGCTCATGCTGCAGTAGCTGATCAGCAAGTATCAACAACTTACAGGCATCTCATGCAATTGTTCTTATCTGACTTCAATGGTGCACTCTCAATGTTGAATTTTGCCTACAAGGTGCACACATTGAGAGCTTGAACAACGCAACTAACAAGTCCTTCTGTCCACTGTGATCAATCCATCTGGTCCTATTGAGCTCTGTATCTGAGCTTACACACTCTCTCTGCAGCAAAATCCTCAGAGCTGCAACACAACTTCATGAAATTGGATCGAACATTCATCAAACACATGGAGACTAAGGGTTGTATAATATTCTGGTTTGGTATTTTAAACATCAATTTAAGATAAATGATTGGATCTCGAGTCCAGGGTATTAGTATTTCAAGAAATTATTAGCATACCACAGAGTCTCAGAATCCCAATACACATGAAAAGCGCTATGAGGAACAGGGACAATACAATTTTCCAAGTGATCCAACAGACTTTCCGAGTTGTAAACAAGTCTCTTCAAAGGAGGTTATAATTTTCAAATTGGAACACTGTCATCTGCGAAACACTGTGTTCATGTTAACTGTCCACTATCTCTACAGTGGGCAAGAAAAGAACAGAGGAGTGAGATGTAAAAACTAAATTGCTGAGCAAACTAGCTCAATACATATGGATGCAAGGAGTATTTGTGGTTGGAGTGACAAAACTGGTTATGATATTCAAATCAAGTTCCCATAATGCAGTTGCACGTTCCAGTGATAATCTTAAATTAGTCCTTAGTATAACTTTTAATACACTTGGGCTTGTTCTGCAAGCACTGCCTGACTACAAAATCACACCCAACTGTGGACATTATGTTCTGAGTTTTGCAGGCATTGGCTGGTTGAGCATGGTTAGCACTTTATGACAAATAACCAAAGGGACATGCTGTTTGATATGATTTGCCAGTTGTTGAGACATTTGGCCAATACACCTGGATTTTCACTGGCACTAAAATTTAAGTACCACATTGCCTGTTTGTGTGGTAGAGAGAGAATGTATTTTTTTCTTGGGCCTTAGCTCGCACCAAGTCCTGTTCACCCATCACCTTTCTTCCTGCTGACCTCTTGGTCAAGCTGTGCCTTAGGTTTAAAGTCACATCCTTATTTTGAATCTATTCATAGCCTTGCCCGTTCTTCATCTCTGTCATCTTCTCCAACTGTTCAATCCTCCAAGACAACTGCCCTCCTCTAATTCTGGCCCCTTGAACATCCCAAATTTAAATAACTCCATCACTGGCTTCCATGCCTTTAGCTGCTCACATCCATCCTATTCTAGAATTCCTTTCCTGAACCTATCCATCAATCTCTGTTTCATTAGTTAAGACTCCCTGCAAAAGTTTGACCATGTCTTTGGTCATCCATCCGATTATCATCAAATCCCCTAATATCTCCAAAATCTCAGTATTCCCAGAAGAGTCATGTTGAATGCAAAAATGTAACTGTTACTCTCTACATAGATGCTAACAGACTTGCTAGGTTTTCCAGCACTTTCTATTTTATTCCTAATGTCTGTTTAATGTGGAGCAGTATCAAATTTTGCTTTATAATATTATTTGCATGCTTTGCAACATTTTATAGTTTAAATATCATTGCTCTCTGTGATGCAAGAAGTTTGTGACATAATGAGCAGCAGATTAAAGGTACTGCCCAATGGTTATACAGGTGTACAATTCATATGCAGCTCAACTCTGACTTACCTTGCTTCTGTGGACATCTTTGGGTCACCCAGACATGCGAAGTCATCTATGTACCCCGAATCACAGTTGATTTTCGCCCAATCGGGTTTGCAAACATCAAGAAAGTGAGGCCGAAGACGACCAATTGAATACTTGGCAATGTCAGTCAGGGACTGGTTTGCTGCAGCCCCAAACAAAAATGTACCAATGGCTTTGTACAGAGTGGCTATATAGGAATTTCTAACAAAGGAGTTTGAGTATAAGTGGTTCCAATGAACCGAAGCTAACTCTCCCACGATTATCTGCAACAGAGAAAAATAGGGGATCAGATCTGCATAGGAAATAATGAATACACAAAATTCACAAAACATGCACATTGCCACAAATACATCAGCAAAGATAATCACAGGGAAAAGAAGCAAAAGCAAAATGAAATCAGATTTTATTAGATTCTATATTTTGAACTATGAATCATTTTGGAAGCTTACTTTTGTGTCACTAAAAATGAAACTTTGAGTGGTGCTCATGTGTACAGTGTTCTTTCTTTGGTATGCCACAATTTTCAAACTGTAACTTAGATCTATATCAGTGAATGTCACTCACTGATTGAAAAACAAATAGTGCGAGGGTAGTGTTTCAATACACAATCACACAGTGAGGAAAACTGTAAGTCTGCTCCAGGCTGCACCCACCTCTGGCAATGACAACTACCACACCACTGAAGTTCTCTGTCACCACATCTCTCAAAGACACAACTACAAAATCAGTGAACATTAAACTAAAGAAAGACCTAGGGCTGAATCTCTTAAACGTCAAAATTTTCAATTTGTCACAAATATATCTGGGTCTCAAACTTATTCGCAGAAGACCACCTTCAAAGAAAATCTTGGGGCAAGCTCCCAGTTAAGAGGATCCAATCCAGGTCCAATTTTAAATGGTGAGCAGATTGTGAAGGTGGGAGGGGGATTGAGTGAATGTCATTGCAAGGTCAGTAGGCAGCCTTCACCGTACCTGCACTGAGAGCATTGCTGGTGTGCCTTGTACGCAAGATAATTGGACAAAAATAGATTAAAGTGGCTGGAGGAAATAGCGACCACTTCCTCACCAGCAAGCGTTATCTCTTCCTGCAGTATCTAAGAGACTGGAGGAAATTGGCAGCATCCATCTGAAGGAGACCATCTGAGGTTTGTCAATTTGTATCCATGTAGGTAAATTTGAATTATTTGTCTCAGTTCTCTGACCTCCTGCTGTGTATGTGCTTTTTGTTACCTGGTTAGTTGAAGACACAGCAGGGGAGTGAGATTTGAGCCATAACAGTAAAATCAATTGCACTGGAAAAATGTTGTGAAATGATTGCTGAAGAGCCCTAAATGGCTTCCTGCTGCTGCCGAGCAGGTTTGCCAAATCAGAACTGAAACCACATTCGGGAAAAGAGCAAAGAGACAATGTTGAACCAGATCCCCATGACTTGCCCTGTGGCACTTACTTCTGAACATGCCATGAGTCCCTGGGTCACTTCCCCATAAAGTGTATAGTATTTCTAATACTTGTCCTTCCAAAGTAGGGCTTCAGTTGGATTAGTCGTGGAATAGCCACCATGGGTCACAATTCCCAAGAGACCAGAATCCTGGTGGACATCATGACTTCTCACATCAAGCCTATGGTCTACATGAGCAGGAAGGGCAACTTTCCATTAACGGCATCTGGCCATAACAAATGTCACTGTACAAGCAAATGTCACTGTACAAGCAAATGCCATAATCCAGGAAGTATCCATGATGAGTTTATTATGTAGCAGCCCATGGTATCCGCATAACGCAATGATTCACAAAGACTGGCCCATCTGCCGATGGAAGACTTAATCTCTCCTCCCCAGTCAGGGCTGTTAACAAGCCTGAACTGCAGCAAATGTTACCGACCAGTGCAGAACATGGTTCAATGAATGCACTCATTTAGAAAGCTGACAAAAGGGGGCAAAAATCTTTCTGCTATTGAAAACATTCTTCTATCAGAAACAAGTGAGAGTCACAACCAACTGGCCAAGTCCCACCTCTGCGCATGACATTCCCAGAGGTGGCCAGTTAAGAGGCTCTTCCAGGAATGCTAATCCAATTAATGTTAAGGGTTTCCAAGGTGATGGGGCCCCCGTATCTTTGGATGACTGGGGATTTCACAAGGTGGGAGACAGCAAGCTCCCCAATACGGAGGTGAGATGTGGATCAAATTCAAAAAGTGATGACTCCTGAAGCTTGGCTCGGCCTTTGCAGCCAGCAGTCTGCAGCCCCGCCAGTATGGACAACTCTCCCCCCAACCAAGAGGCTTTCTCCTGCTGGGCTCAGCACAGCTGCAGGCCACTCCAAAGCCTGTAAGATCCTGGCACCTCTGGATGGCTAACTGCTGCCCCTCCCTAACTGCTCTGGGGTGGGTCACCGCTGTGGCTGTGCTTAACATACTGAGACCCCCAAACTGCAAATTGGACCAGGAAGATACCACAGTCTCAGAGAAATTGACCACTTTTACGGTCCAGTTGAGGAATCCAAAATAATCACAAGCAGAAAATGCTGCAAATAATCAGAATCTGAAGAACAAGCGTAAGGTTTCAGGTCAATAACCTCCCATCAGAACCAAATAATCACAGTCTGCTGCATGTTGCAAAACATTCCAACATCAAGGGAAGTATGCACAGCAGAGTCCCATGGTCCACAAGGACCACAGTGTGAACAGTAGGAGACTGACGTGAAGCCCACAGGACCCAGATGACCCGACATCAGATGAAGCCTACCATTTCAATTATTTGAGGAAGCTTGGTGCTTTTGGACAATGTAGAAGCTCTCTCTCTCCCTTCTCTCCCACTGTATCTTAGGCACAGGTTACAAAGTACTGCAAGCTGACTTGTGATTTATGAGGCAATATATTGCAGGTGTCACTGAGGAGTGTAAAGGCCATCTTTAAAACTCCTTTGAACCAATCCTCCAACTTGATGAATCTAGCAATGTCAGACTTGTGCAAGTTCAATACTCAATAGCCACAATATGGCAGTGGTAATACAGTGGATATAGTGTTTGCTAAAAGCCAAGTAGTTCTGAGTTTAAATTCTACCATAAGTTGTAAAATTGTGTTTTAAAAATTTGAATTATGGACCCAGAACAGAGAAAGAATTGAGGAGCCTGCTGTTTCATTGATGTTGTCTGCCACAATATGTGGTTGACTCCTAATACCTTCTGAATTAGGCTAGCAAGGTCTAAAACAAATCCAACATAATACATGAAAACATTGAGTCACCTTGGGTTTGCTGTGGTAATAAACTGGCATAACCTGATACTGTAAAATTGCCTTGAATTTGGTACAGCATGTCATTACAATATTACATGCTATTCAGTAACAAGCAAAAGTGCAGCATTTGCTGAAGTTGTTTTACAACAGAGAATAGAATGTGATAATTTAAGAATTTCATGTCTTTTTGACATGACATATTGTGCATATAATTAAAATACATTGTTCAGGGATTAGAAGCCTATAAACAGGTTTTACACCAGAACTACATAAGGCACCAAATCAGAGGTTCACACAGAGTGCTAAGAAAATAGTTTTTGTTCCTTGAGGCAGAAACATCTTGCTTGACTGTTCAGCAAGTTGATCTAGTGAGTAGCTGAGCCAATGTTCCAGGGCAGGACAAAGAAAAGTCTTCATAGACATTCTGAAGGTCTCCTCAAAAGATTGACCAAGGTCAGAAGTCACATTACTCCAGGTTATAGTCCAACAGGTTTATTTGAAACAGCAAGCTTCTGGAGCGCTGCTCCTTCCTCAGGGCAGCATTGATATTGACTGGAGAGGAGCTTGCTACCAAAATGGTAACTAGTTGCCCATGAAACCGTATATATCTTCAGTCCAAATACTTTATTGTTGGGGCAGATGATGGCAGAGAAAGAAGAAGCAAATCCTGCATCTTGGATTCCAGTACATCACGTGATGTCTTGCCCTACTTGTCCAAAGATCTGCAGGTCCAAAATCAGCCTGTCCAGTTGCATGAAGACCCATGGCAGTAACTCATAACCTAGAGCGGGCACTATCCTCAAATCACAGGATAGCTGATGAAACTAACAAATAATTTTAAAAAGCTTCACTAATTAAGCCCATTTTCTTGAAGAAGACACTCTTTTAATAAGACGTTTAAGAATTTAAGAATTTAAGAGTTGAGTTTAAAGCAATACATCAAAGCTCAAGAAATTGTCTTAGAAATTGCAATGAAGTCAGAATGTAGGTAGGCCTTCTGCCCATTGTCAGTAGTTCCCGGACGTCAGTCTACAGCTGTGGGTCAGGACCATTTATGTATTTTAGCTAGCACTGGGACTATTTATAATGCCAATTACCATCTCAGAGATTTGGAAAATATCATTTCCAAAAGAAGTTGGCCATTTAAAGTTTCCCCTACCCTGTAACCTACAGCAACATTAGGCACAAGGGATGCACAGGTGTCCGTTGTGTCTAATTTGTGAGAGTGGAAAGGGAAGGAAACACAACATATAAATGTACTTCTTATTTTCATAACAATCTCAGGCATACCTAAGCAGACAATAGTATGTCCAACATCACTCAGCAGAAAATGTCAGAAATGATGGCAAGGGGCAGGTGCTCACAGAAAGCTAATTCATCCAATTTTCCTTCTTCACTTGCTAGTTTGCCAATATAATGGGACAGGAAACTCAAGGATATTGTTTCTCATCTTAGAAATACTCCTTCCTGTTCTTTCTCTCCTAAAGACACTGATAGTCTCAAGTACAAAGTTAGCAATCCTGTAGTTCAATATTTTTGTGCAAGCCTTACAATTCTATGTTTCTGTAAAATGATCATCAATAGCTGATTTTCTCTTGCTGAGTGCTAACAAAGTCATCCACAGTTAGACTTTCTTCTAGGAATCAGTAAAGTCACCATAGTCTTACTGGACCATTGGACTGCTCGCTCGTCAGAGAGAGCGCAGTAACTGGTGATGGTTTAACCCAAGGGTCACCACGCCTCAGGCGAGGGGAAATGTTGAGAAGGAGAATCCTTCATGGTAGCTTCAGCCAGTACAGGAATTAAACCCATGTTGTTAGCATCACTCTGTATCACAAATCAGCTGTCCAGTCAATTGAGCTAACTGAGCTCCCCCCTCTCCCCCAGGAATCACTGAACAGTGACTAGATATTGACTGGGGCAATAAGGCAAACTTCAAATCCTCATCTGACACTCAGCACTGACTAGGGGTTTAACCATGGGCTTATTTGATCAACGGTTAAGAATCAGCTGACATTTTACCCACCAA